CCATATTTAGAAGAATATTTGAAAATAAGATGTGTTATATTACAATTATTAAGAAGTGCACAATTTGAACACTTGCAGTTCTGTATACAAAAACAAAAAATAATTATATCATCAAATGAAAGAGTAAAATTTACTTTACCAACATACAAAATTTTACTATTCTATTGTGAATAGTAAGAAAAATAAAAATGAAAACAATTACATGGTACTTTTTAGATAAAGTCGGTAACCGCCGAGGCCGCACAAATGACTCACCCTGTATAATTTTAATTTAATGTAACAATTTATGTGAACATCGCATTGTGGTACACATGGACCGCACATGTTCACAATTCAATCTCACTCCGAGTTTAATAATGACGATTTTAAAAGCTCGCATGTTTCGACATGCTTTTTATTTTGGGGCCAGTCGCGCCGATAATTAATCTTAACCGAAAATCTAATATATTTGAAAACGCGTCAATTAAACGGCGAATTTATAGACCGTTTCGTAACGTCTTCTTTTACGACTAGACAGTTTTGCGTTTATTATTTTCATGAACGTTTTAATCGCTACACTCGTGCTTATTTAATATATGAGTCTAGTCATTGTAGCACAAAAGAAATGCACTTTGTTTATGGTCAGTTATTTTCACTACACGCTGTATAGTTTTTTGTATATGGAAAGGCGCCAAATTTGAAAAAATCAAATCGTAAAAATGCGACTTTATTACATTTTTAAATACTCGAGACACACCATCTAAAATTAGTTAACAAAAACTAAAAAACGAGCCAAAAATAGCAACAGCAAATTGAATTTGCACACGTGGCGGAATTCACAAACAAGACAAATGGAATTAATTAGACATCACATCAAACATTTCATTTGCATTTATTGAGCAAGTTATTGATTGTGACACAAGACTGATTGCGATTTGGTTCAAAAATATTTAAGAAAAATGGTGAGCATTTTTCATGAAAATTCCCTGAAATAAAGTTTGAATTAATATTCATGGCAACCAGCCTTAATTTGTTTCACTACTCTCCGAAATTATAAAGTTGATTGGGAAATGAAGTTAGAGCTTTGAGTCGAACTGGAAACGTGAAGTTTTAACAAATTTTGAAACGGGTTTAAAAAGTCATTAGGAAAAAATTACCCGCCACTGGACTAAATTTGTTGCTGTAGTATGGACAAACTTAAAAAAGGGTGTTGATATTTGCTTATTTACTTTTTAACATTTCTTCCTTTTTTCAAACGAATATTATCAGAAGTACACAAGTGGAAAATATTAAATAAATTAGTGTTTTTTTCTTCTTTTTTTTCAGAAATTACATGGAATTAATTGGGAAGATTATGATAAAAAAATAACAAAAGATTGTCTCAAGGAAATGAACCAACTTTTGTTATAAAAATCCTCCCAAAACCGGGTTATTGAAGATGTATTTATTCAGTGGAAGCTCGTGAAAAACTGAAAACTTGTAACAAACTTATTACCAAGGCAATTTGTTCGAAAACTCGTTTGTTTTTTGGCAATAAAAATGTATAAAAAATTGTAAAAGTTAATAAAATAAATGTTTTATGAATAATTTAAATTTCATTCCAAAAATGTTTGGTTAAGTTAGGAGCTTTAGAGGTAGTTAATTTTTTTGTCATTATTAATTGACAATTTATAAACATTATAAACATAATTTGACAATTTTAGGTCTTTAAATCTAGTAATTTGTCAATTGTCCTTCAAAAAATGATACAAATTTTGAAAAGTTGATTTTATTTTTGCCCTTTTGTACCCCCACTATCCAAAAACCGAAATTTTAACTTAAAATTATGTCCAGAATTCTACCAAAACCGAATTCAACTTTCCATTTCGAAATTCCATGAATTTGATTTCAGAACCCAAAATTCGGAATTCAAAAGTGAGAATTTTATGTTTGAATTTGAGAATTTCGACTTTTTGAATTAAAATTTTTATTTTATAACTTAAAATTCTGACTTTGATTGTTAAAACGGTAAAATAGAATCAAAATTCTGACTTATTAAAACATAAAAATTTCTTACTGAAATCGAAATTTTGATTTAAATTACATTGAATTTTTTAACAACAAAATCTGAGTAAGTCGAAATTTTGACGTTTGTACTAAAAATGCTGCTATTTTAAGAAATATCTCAAACTCAGACTTCAAAAGTCGAAATTCCAACTTTAAATTTAGCAATTTTAACTTAAAATTCTTCTTTTATAACTGGAAAATCTAACATTTAAAGTTAAAACGCTGAAGTAGAATAAAAGATTTGATCTAGAAACATGAAAATTTGAATAAAATTCGATATTTGATACTTAAGCATAAATTTAAACTCTGAAAGCCTAATTTTTAACATCAGAAGTCTAAATTCCAACATTGAAACTAAGAATTTTAAATTTTTGACTTAAATTTTTTATTTTGCAAGTCGACATTCTGAGTTTAAAGTGGAAAATATTAAA